CAAGTCACATGTGTTTGGTAGCTCCATTTTTTTCACTACTAATGGCAGAAATAAACAAAGAGTGTACCTCCAGGGCATTATACAGAGACCAGAGGTACTGATGCATGGCACAATCTTGCAGTAAGGCCTATATGAACAAGCATTCAATAAACAAAGCTGTTTTTCTTTTTGTAGATTCAGTAGATGCCACTGCAGCTCCTACATCATGTTTACATCTCCCCGATTTCAGCTGCAAAGGGCAGCCCTGTGGACACTCAGATTTAAATACTGCTAAAGCACTTGTACCATAAATGCAAGTTTCCTTTCCTTTTTTAATGCATAACTTTCTCTGAATGGTCACAGAGACTTCAGAGGTGTAGCAGTTACCGGTCCCAGACTAATTCTCAAACAATGGGAGATAGGAATTGATTGACAATACTCCAGCTTCTTGTGTGAGGGAAACAATTCTGAGAGATTCTCTGTTAAATTATCAGGAAATTCAATAGCACTACCTCCCTGTACTGCTCCTTAAGGATTTCTACACATTAGCTTCCCTCTATCCTTTAGGGACATCCAAATACACTATTGAATATTGAAAAGGGACCCTCAAAACTCTACTTGATGCCTCTAAGTCATCTTCATGCAAATCTTTTCCAAGGACATTGAATGTTCCCTACAGGGTGCAAAGCCCCTCGTCACTGGCATCCCCCACCACCACCATCAGCCGGGCTACAAAGTGCAGGTCCACACTCAGGTCACTGCGGTGCAGATGTCAACCTGCTTTACTAGCAGCCTCTCTGATTGGCTCTCTTGCCCAAAATGTTAATTAAAGCCAAGACATCCTTTTTATATTGACTACCCCAAGTACAGTTTCACTTTTTAAATCTTGTAACAGTCTTGTATTAGTTGCATACAGGTACGGCTATTCTCATTATCTGGCTATCATTATTGTTATCCCATTAAATCTTATCATTAAATACCTAATTAATATACTGTATTAGTTTAAATAATCCATAGTAAACATTTTGCTAGGCATTATCTAACCTTTCTAGCAATCCTAGAAGGTACTGATGTTTTCATCATGTTGCCAGTTAAATAACTGAAACTCATGGCCATGAAATAGATTTTGGGGGGCATCACAGAGCTAGTAGGATGCAGAACCAGGATGTGAAGCACAAATCTATGTCTGAGCCCTTGCTTTTATCTCTCCCACGTCATTTCCTTACATACAGACTGCTTTCACTCCTTGTACTTTTTAAGAATTTTTTTATTTTAGTGGTACACAGCAACATATACATACCCGTGTTTATAGCAGCACAATTTGTAATGGCTAATTAACATCTTTCTACTTGATTAGACTTTTCCTGTCAGAATGTTGGTCTTTACATTGTTGCCTTATATATTAAGAAGCTCCTTTCCCCAGTCCCAAGCTTAAAATCTGCTACTATCTGCACTCTTTCTCTTAATAATACTTACATTTCAATGATAAATTTTATCTCAAATTTAAACTTTATTTCTATTTTGCCAGAAGTATACATCACAGCTTCCTAATAATGATTTCAACGTCAAAGCTTATGACAAATGAGAGGTCTACACTGCTGGCATAGTAATATCTGCATTACTGTGGTAATTTATGCTCTCGGCAAATTTCCCTAATTCTCCATCATCTGTGCACACTGTGGCATAACACCACATCTGCCTAACCACTGCATAACGGCCAGGAAGTCAGGGGAGAGAGAAAAGGGAGGGACCCGAGGGAGAGGGAGATGGAGAAGAAAAAAGGTAGAGATGGAGAAGAAACAGGAAAAGAAAAAAGAACACTAAGGAGGAGGAGCGGGAGGAGGGCCAAGACAAGACAACACCCTTCCAGTCACACCCACAGTCAGCTGCCTCTTCCAGCCAGACCCCACCTCTAAATACATGAAATATGGGGGAGCATTTTAGATCTAATGCATATCATTCTGACCAGGCCTCTAAAAGGTTCATGTCCATCTCACACCAAATGCATTTGGTCCATTTCTAAGAGCTGCTGAAGTCCTAACGGTTCCAAAGCTGCTGAAAAGTCCAAGTCCAACATCTCCTCTAAGACTCAAAGCAAGTTCTTAGTTGTCAGACCTTATAAAATTCAAAACAAATTTTAAATATTTACAACATACAATGTCACAAGGTGAACATTCCCATTCCAAAAGGGGATAACAAGGAATCAGACCAAAGGATGACCAAAACCCAGCAAAGCCAACATTAAATCCTGCAGCTCTATCTTGTAAACTCTAAACTCCAAAGAGTTTGTGCATCCCTGCCCCCATGGCACTGCCAGTTGCAGCTCTCAAGGCTTCTGCCTTGGGCAGCCTCTGCCAGCTACCTGTGATTTTCTTCAGCAGAAGTTCCACATACCTGCATCCCCAACTTCTTGAGTCTTCGGGGCACCTTTGGCTTCACTCTGACAGATTTATTTATTGCCCTCATTGCCTGACTTCTTAGGCCTTCTTCTGAAATTTAGGTAGAAAACTAGATAGAATAACTCCATAACCTTTGCATGCTGCATGTCTCCAGACCAGCACCATGTGGATGACACAAAGGTCTCCTGCCAACTTGGGCAACAACTGAACCCTGTGTACCATGGTTGTAGCAGCCTTGAAATGCTCTGTTGGCTGAATTTGGGGGTGCATTTTCCTAGAAAGCTTGGCATATGCAGGGGTTTCTGAAAATTTCTTAATAAAGCAAAATCTTTCAAATGAGTGTATACTATTTTACTCTTGCACTTGCCACGGGTAGGATCTGGCCATTTCCTGAGATGCCCTCGAAGCATTGTTCCTATTGTCCTATTTCAAAGTCCTTCTTTTTAATCTAATTTTTTCAATGACCCCAACTTTATAGGTGCTTCCATTCTGGCCACTAGAATGATTTGTCAAATTATTCAGTTCTTTTTGGTTCTGATTTTCATAGTAAATCTGGCTGAAAGCAGAAGAACCCATGTGACAGTATGAATACTGAGATGTTTTGAAGTTTTCTCCATTTGATCTATTAGCCCACCACACCTAATTTCAGCCTCCTGTAAAATCTGAGAATCTGAGTAAAATAAAGACAAAGCTTTTGCCTTAGTAAAACATACAGCCTCTAGGCCACTTGCCTTGTTCTCTAATGAAATCTTCTGATCTGGACTTTAATGTTCATGTTTCTATCAACATTCTGATTTTCTGAGCTCTGGCTGGCTTATTATATTCTAAGCCTTCTCTGTGTGGCATCTCCAAACCTTTCCAACTCTTTCCATGATTCATCTTTTGAATCACACGGTCATGGTTCAGAGCAATGACCCCACTCTTGATACCCATATTCTGTATTGGTCTGCTTTCCTACCACTGAAACAAAATACTTAAGACTTTAAAGCAGAGCTTTGTTTTGGCCCACACTTTCAATGGGCTCAGTCCATGGTTGGCTGGCACAAATACCTAAGTGGTGAGGTGGAGGGCATGGTGGCAAAACACCATCGAGCTTGCATTCGTCAGAAAACAGAAAGACAGCAAAAATAATACACATTTCCAGGTGACACCTCCAGTGACCTGCCATTTCCAACCAGCTTCCATTTCTGAACAGTGCCCACCTCCAAACACATGAGACTTTTAATGGACATTTTAGATCTAATTTATAACACAGCCCATATTGTCAGATTAGTTTTCATCAAGCCATCTTACCTCTTTATTCATGTATAGTTTCCACCACTCAAGGAAAAAACTAAAAGCAAAAGAATAATTAACATGTATTGAGTATCTTTTAAATGTGAGATGCTTTAATTTCTGCAGTTTCATTAATTCTTAAGAACCATGCAAGTTATCAACACAAACACAGGCATAAATCCAAAAGTACTGATCAATTTCACTGCTACCATAGTAATTTATGACTATCTAAATTTCATCACACACAATTCTCCTGCTCAAAATCCTCCAGATGGTTCTCTCTGTGGTTTAAAACCGATCCAAAATCCCTGTCATCATACTCTATCAGACTTCACACAATCTGCTCCCCGTCAGCCATCTGAAACTAACCCTTCCTACTCTCCTAGCCACCCTTGATATTCTAATTCCACTGGTCATCTCAGTATTTCTGAAACATAGCTTGTTTCTAACTCAGAAGTTTATACTTGACAGGCCTTTTACTGGGAATATATTCTCCTTCAGTCTTTTACAATTGAGCTTTCAACACTTAGACCTCAGTCTGAATGTCACATACTGAGGCAAAATTCATTTGCCCATTTTAGTTAAATAAGTATTTATCAACTTTTATTTAAAATCATGTTAGTTTTAGAATCCCACACTGTAAGAAAAGCGCAATGAAGACAGTGACCTTGTACAGTTTGTGGGCTGATGTGTCTATGAAGAATACAATACCTGGCACAGTGAAAAGTCCAAAAATATTTCTTGAACAAAATAAAATGTATCCTGCCGATAAGAAAATGAGGTTTTGGGAGTCTGAGTACATTTCCTAACTTCCTGAATTTTCTATGGGCGTCTGATTCTGAAGCCCATTTACTTTCGGAGTTCCCAAAAGACAGAAATATAGGACAACAGGTGGAACTAAATAATGTGCAAGGGTCCTTTCAGGCCTTCGATTCTACTGTGGACACAATCAAAATCACAAAGTCATCTCAATCGTGCTTTCTTCCAGACAGCTCTGCATCCCGAGAAGAACAAGATAACATAAGAAATCCATTAACCTCCCATTTTTGTAATGTTGTACAGAGGCCAGGGTTCAGGATTTGTATTCTGCCAGTGGTGACCATGCAAGTTTCATTTTTATTTTTGTCTGGGCCCCCACAACTTTGCACCAAGCATTGTTGGGACTGCCTACTCCTTATTTGTTCAAACATCAGACTGTGCGAGCTGTTCTGTGGCTCAGAAAGTCTCTCCCACCGCCCCTGCTCCTTGCAAATAACCAGCACAGCCTGCAGCACACTCATTGGCCCACAGCCGCCCGGGGGCGGGGCTTCTGTCTCAGGGGCTCTTCAAAAGGCATCAGCGCTGTGAGCAGCCCAGCCCTGGGGCTCAGGTGCTCTTTCTGCCGGCCTCCTTCCCTGAGCAGTGCTTTTCAGACTGCCCTCTGTCCAGTCTGGCTCAGCTTGGGTCACAGCCTCAATCAAGGGATGCCAGGTCTCGGATTTTGATGTCAGCGATGGAAAACCTGGTCAATGCTTCCTGGTTGCACCAGCAGGAGCTGGGAGAGCCCTGGAGGAAGCACCTGAACAGCACGGAGGACTATCTGGCCTACCTGTGTGGCCCAAGGCGCAGCCACCTGTTTCTCCCCGTGACTGTGGTGTACGCTCTGATTTTTGTGGTGGGGGTCATAGGCAATCTCCTAGTGTGCCTGGTGATTCTTCGGGACCAGATGATGAAGACACCAACCAACTACTACCTGTTTAGCCTGGCCGTCTCGGACCTCCTGGTCCTGCTCCTGGGAATGCCCCTGGAAGTCTACGAAATGTGGCACAACTACCCCTTCCTCTTCGGGCCTGTGGGCTGCTACTTCAAGACTGCGCTCTTTGAGACCGTGTGCTTCGCCTCCATCCTCAGCGTCACCACCGTCAGCGTGGAGCGCTACGTGGCCATCCTCTACCCCTTCCGTGCCAAGCTGGAGAGCACGCGGCAGCGGGCCCTCTGCATCCTGGCCGTAGTCTGGGGCTTCTCCATCCTCTTCTCTCTGCCCAATGCAAGCGTCCACGGCATCAAGCTCCACTACTTCCCCAATGGGTCCTTAGTCCCCGGCTCTGCCACCTGTACAGTCATCAAGCCCATGTGGATCTACAACTCCATCATCCAGGTCACCGCCCTCGTCTTCTACCTCCTGCCCATGACGCTCATCAGTGTCCTCTACTACCTCATGGGGCTCCAAGTGAGTACCCACACTAACTGGATGGGGGGATGAGTCCTTTCTCTTGGCACTGGTTCAAAGTTCAGTGAAAACCTTAGGCTGGAGCGCTTTGGAATCAGAAGGGAACATAGCAAAAGGACGGGACATTAACAAGTTAGAGTGCTTGCTTCAAAGTATACAAATATTAAAACCTTGGCTCTGTGTTATTTACTCCTTCTCCCAATATTATTCCCTCTCTATTGGTTCTCAGATGTAAGTATGCTAAGATCTGACCAAAAAATTTACTGAGTTGCAGTGTGCATCCATCCTTCACTCACAGGAAAATCTAACTTAGGTCATTGGAGGTGGAAACTCACTTTAAATAAGCACATCAGCTGATGTGTGGTCAGGTGGTCTCACTCTGAGGGGCTTTTTCACTGCCTGCTGTCTCTTTCCTGCCCTCTTCTCATTTACTGCCCATGTTGAAATTTTTATGCACCAACTAGGTCTGTGAATAACTACAAATCATCCAGACCTTTTCATGGACCAAGTCAGATATGTAACTTTTAAGTCAAACACTCCCTTGTGGTTGCTTGAGCCTCTGGTTGAAATATTAAATTAAACTGAAATATATTTAGACGTGTGTGTGTGTGTGTGTGTGTGTGTGTGTGTGTGTGTGTTGTGAGATCAACTTGGTCTCCTCTTGAGTAGGTGAAGACTGAGAAAAAGAGAGGTTAAACAGGGTGCACAGGATGGAGTGAAAGAGTGTAAGGAAGAGACACCAGACATGGGGAAGAAAATGTCATTCAGACTGCACGAACAATACAGTTGGAAGTCCCTTTCCTATGCTTGTGGAGGCAAACTATTTTGTATCTTTTCTCTGGATTTCATCTGGTGAGACCAAGGATTTTTTTGATAACGGCATGAGTCTATATCATTCCTAGTATATTCTGTACCTGAATTCATAGAAATGCAATTCTGGACTGTGATAGTCTTAAATTCATTTACGAGGCAGATTGTGTAGTAAACAGGAGATCAGTTCGACTCTCTGGTCCACACTCACCTACAGTATGCCTTGGGACGGGTGTGTCATTCTCGTGGCCTTAGTTCCCACAAGTATAAATTGAAAAGGTCCAACCAGGTCATATCTAGGCTCTTTCTAGTTCTTATGGTCTGTGACTCTTTAAAAAAATGAAAAACTCTTAGGAGGAGCAGTGTGAGTTATAAGTAAATCAACAGTTAAACAAACTCACATGAGACCCTTCAAGACAACTCTCTCACTATGTGTTATGTGGTAATTTATATACTACTATCATCCACCTCTGAGAAAGGTGATTGTTAAAACTGAGTGCCCCACTGGTGGCTGTTTAACTACCTCTAGATCCTAAAATGAACAGCAAGGTCTAAATGAAAAGAACAAATTTTAAAGGCCACAGACTTCGAGGCACAGGAAACAATCTAATGAAGCAGAGAGCTGTGCCAGGTTCCTCGTTAGGACTCTGGCCCCTGTATTCACAGATTTTGTCACTCAAAGTCAGCTCAAAGACATGCCTCTAACTCCCCTGTTCAAATCACCAAGGTATAAGCCTTCTATATCCTCCTGAGCGTCACAATCTTATTTAAAAAACAAAAAGAAAAAAACACCAAGAACTTATTCACATCATCTTATCTAACACCAATCATTGGGTGAAGGTGTGGGAAATATTTAAATATGAGAAAAAAATATATTTCTACAACCCATTACTTTGAGTTTCACTGTGATAAAGCCATTGCTGATTTGTGTCAGGAGCTGACTGACAGCTCAGACAAGAGGTTAAACACCACCTAGCATTGCTTTGTGTTCTCAGGAAGGATGAATTTTTATCAGGTTACCAGGATACCAGGAGGGGAACCGCCTGCTTCAAAGTTCTCTCCTGGAAGAATTTAAATATCCCCAGACCGAAGTCTAGGCAGGTAACCCTTATTCTCTGACACACTGGCCTCAGGATCGTGGTTCCTTCTGCCTGAAATGCTGCTGCCATTTCCCGTTTTAGCACTAATTCATCCTCTAAACCATCCGTCAGTCACCCCCACGGGGTGCTCCCCAATTCCCTGGCTCTACCCTGCCCCTGGTACAGGTGCTCCTGCCTCCCAGGGATTTCCCCTCATTACAATTTATAGTTCTGTCTTGCAGATTCCTTATTTCTCTCCAGCTAGACCCTAAGCTCGGCGCATGGATGAACTAAATTACCTCCCTCATTCCAGAGTTCCAGCTTCTCTACCTTGAAAACAAACAACTGAGAGACATCACCTCAAGGGCCTTTCTTATCTGTGAGAGTTTTAAAGAGGCCCAGGTGATCCTGAGGATATTTAAATTATTAACACTATTTGGAAGTCTAAAGGAGTGAATCACTGTGGGTCCCACTGCCTTTGGAAGGCACTAAAGTGACACTGATGGAATCATAGGAGGGAAGGCACACACATACTCCAACTAAAGACTCAGTGATGCTTTGACATCCTGGGACAGTGGTGCCAAACTATGATACACGTGCCACAGCGGGCTGCTTGTGTCAGTGAAAGCTTTAAAATGCTCATCATTACTCTTCTAGAACATTAACCTACATAGAGGTGTTTTCTGGGAACAGAAAATTATCCAGATGAAAAACAGATGATCCCAGGGCAAGTTAGATCCCCTTCCAGCTAGGAGGAAGCCCTGAAGAAATGCCTTCCCTGCATTCGCCTTTAAAGCGTGAGCTCATGAGTATGCGTACAAGAACGGCAGCAGAATTCAACCAGCCAGACAGGCGCATCATACAGACAGATGGATGTAGGTGTAGCCATTGACGCAGGCACACAGATACACACGCACAGAGGGGAAACGGATTATATTCAGGTGGTAAAGATAGTTACACATATGCATCTTTATGTCTTCTTAGGAAACCAAGTCTTCATGAACCACATAGATGAACAGCTAACAGATTTACTTCATTTACTATACACAGCTGATCTGAGTAACGTATCAACCTGCCGCCACCCCAGAAGGCTCCCCTTCACCATGATGTCCTGTATCTGGATGTGTAGCTGGCTGATGGTGGCTAGAAAGCCTTCCTGTAGGACTGCAAGGTTTTCATTCCTCTTTTTTGCCACCTGACTTTTAAAATCAAAAGTCTGGGGGAGGAATGAAATAATTAATGGTTTAACATCTACTTCTCTAAACCTAGGAAGGCAAAAGAAATTATTCAATAATAAAGAGGCATTTAATATTGGCTAGAAAAATTGCTTCGATTATACTATGTCAGCCACTTTAAATTCTGGTAGAACAAGGTACAAGACACACAATGGTTTCATTTTTCACTCCTCCCTTAGCCAGTGGGGTCATCATAACTTAAGGAAGCTCAAAAACAACTAATAAGTAATGGGCACATGATTTTCTTTCAGTGCAAACTCTACGTGCCCAGGAGGCCTGTTGGTGAAAGCACTGTGTGAATTCCTTGCTCCATGTTTCTCTAAGGACATTACGCTTTGAGATGGAGATACTCCCATGGAGAACCATTAACACCAACCAATCAAGAAGTTGCTGAGAGATCTCGATATACTTTCTCTATTCTTAAATATGGATGGAAAGTCAAAAATGGAATAATCACATTATATAATACTATAATTTTAAAAGCATCAGCATTTGAAACTATAGCAGCTGTAACTGAAGATGCTTTGCTCAAGTCTGTAGTGTGACACACTGCTTTAACCTCCACGCTTTCCTTCTCTGTTCAGCTGGCCATTTCTCTGCACCAGCAAGTACTGCTTCAGAGTGAGAAGCAGAAGAAGAAAGAGAATTTCTAGAAGGGATTCGGGAATCAAGCTGAGTGGGCCCACAGATATAAATAAATAATTGTCTCCAAAAATTAAGTTTTTATGATAGGCTCATAGCCAGTGTTGCAATAATATATCACTTGTGAGTAGCATGTGGCAGCCACTGAGCTAGGTAAACTGCTGTATTATTTATTTTACTGTTGTATTAATAACAGCTGATAAGCTTCAGTTTCCTTCTGCCTATTCCTAAACTACTGGATAGGAATCCCCCTGTTTCATTTCAAGATCTAAAATGACTACAAAGGAGCAAATTTCTTAAGATTTTCCCCCTCAGTTGATGAAAACATGGATATACATAAAGAACGTCAATATAGCCAAGAAACACATGGCTCAGTGTATTATTCATTCAAGTGGACACTTGGGTCTGTGTGACCCTGAGAGCTACCTGACTTAAAGGGCATAATTTCTTTGTTTATGTCATGCAAATACAAGTCATCAAGCTGGAGTTTCCTTTGACCATTTGTTGTTCTGAATACTGTAATGTTCATATATTTACAATTCCTTATTTAGTGACCAGTTCATTTAATGACTCAGGCATGGGAATGTAACTTGGTCCTTAAACAAGGAATGTTGCCCTTCTCAGATCTTAACAGAAGAGAAAAAAAAGGCCTCTCGTACTCACTATTACTTTCTGGTTATTTTTCAGCTGAGGAAAGATGAATCCCTTGAGGCAGATGAAGTGACTGCAAATATTCAGAGACCTTCCAGAAAATCAGTAACAAAGATGCTGTGTAAGTCCACCATGTGTTTGCTTTGTTTTGTTTCTGAGGGACAAGGAGTTGCATTTGATACTGACAAAGTGCTATGAGAAGCAGGCCGCAAATTACTCCAAAACATAGCATCACATCCTATCGCTTCACTTTCTCAGGCCTAGACACACACACACACACACACACACACACACACACACACACACACACACACTTGTATTTCACTTCTGATTTTCAATCCTCAAATTAACATGCTAAATCGCATTCACTGACTATACTCCATGTGGTGCACAGTACATCACATCTGTGGTACAAGCCTTTGAGCATCATTGCCCTTGGTAAATCCAGAAGGTAGGTGATGGTCAGGCTACTGTGTTATGAGTTTCTGTACAACTATGATAGAAGTTATAATGGCTCTCTAGCAAGGAAGTTTGTAAATACACACACACACACACACACACACACATTTTCTGATCCTTTTTAAGGTGTCATAACTTCCTGAGGCCCACAAAGAGACCTCATGGGATATTTTATTTCCAGATTGAGAATATATGGCCAGGAGTACATTTAAACTGTCACTCCACTGACATTGTGTAATGTGGAATCAAAACAGTATATTTCTGTATAGATAACATGTTTCTTTAAAAATTCCAGGAGATGATCTCTATGCTCCCTAAAGAGTGTTACAAAATATGTACTAGAGTGGAATAAAAATATCCATTCAATACAAAAATAGGAAAACTTTATGATCCAGCACCAATCCATGAGAGTTACTGATAAGGAAAAGATTTATTATATATTTTCCAAAGCAAAACCTAAGGTTTGAAAGTAATGAATTTTCAAGGTCAATATGCCTGTGAAGTGCTCACCTGTAACTATCCTGGATCCATCCATCAACAACAACAACAACAACAAAACTATGAAGGCACTGAAAGTGCTATTTTGATTCTATAATCATTTTCTCAGAAATTTTCAAGGTCCTGCTGACACTTGACTTGAGGTCAAAAACTCTACACCTTCATTATCTCTCTGCTTTCTTCTTTGATGATAATCTACTTCCAGTAAAACTCACATTAAACTCACAATAAAAAATATAAACTATTTGCTTTTAGAAGCATTTGAATTTTAGCACAAATAAAAATTTAACTAAAGGGAATTATTTTAAAAGCGAACCAATTTTCCTGGGGGAATAAGTTTAGAAAAAGCTCTAAATATTCCTGAAGTTGCATCACACAGGCACTAAGTTTACTGCAAGCAGGACGTACAGGTCCTACGTACACGACAAGGATAGAGAAGTGCACAGTGCATGCCACAGACCCATCACCAAGTTAAAAAATCATCAACTCATAGCAAACCAGTTTCTGTCTACACCCCTATCTCTCCCTCAACCCCTAAATAATCATTCCCCAGCATCATGTCACAAGAAAGGAAAGAATTCTACAAATTCAAAAGACAAAAACACACATACTTATCTTACATGCCCCCAAGGGAAACTAACACCAATCTCTGTCTTGAGAGCTAAAAATGAGAAATTGGAGGTAATTCCGTGCTCTGGCAATGTAGACCTTAATAAACACGTCCTCTCCTGATCAAAGATACTCGCGAAGCCACATTATGCTTGTGGTTGTGTAGTCTTCCTCTCTCCTCCTCAGCCATCACAGAATTTTAAATGCTCAAAATCAGAGAAACTTCTAATTATTTCTATGGTAACAAGATGAACTCACACATCCAAACAGCATTGTGCTATTAATCTATAACTTGAAAGAACATCCACCAGTTGGTGCCATCTATCTATCTAGACAACCACTTTCCACGGCTCCTACGCTCTAGTTACAACATGATTTACTTTCCACAATAAACCGTCTCCTGAGCTTTAAAATAAATTCAGTCCTATCATAAATGCTCTAAAGGAAACTTTTATTATACTTGGATCTTGTATAATCAAATAGAAAAGTGATCTCAAGTCCCAGTACAATTAATTCTTAGGTTTGAATATTCTGTCTTGAGGCTCTTGTAGTTTACCCACAATTACAGCCTGAGTAATGTCAGGGGGAAGCCCCAGAAGGAACAGCATGAGCATCGCTCCTGCCCTCGCCTCTGCCTCCTCTATCCTCTATTTACCGTCTTTTGCCAGTCGTGTTGGTCTTAGTGTTCGGCATTTGCTGGACGCCATTCCACATCGATCGACTCTTCTTCAGCTTTGTGGAGGAGTGGACGGAGCCCCTGGCTGCTGTGTTTAACCTCATCCACGTGATATCAGGTAAAAAATTTGGTTAATCTGGGTTTTCGACAAATGTCCAGGCAATTTCAACTTTATCCCCATCGTACGTAGCCGCTTCGGTATAGCAATGCAGTGCAGGGATCTGCCCATGACCACAGTGATGAAAATACTTGATTTTAATTTTATTCAGAGATTAATGAGGCTTTTCACAGGTTAAAATAACAGTTGCTACTTTGGTTTTATTTTAGTGTAATACAAGTAGACATTAATAGAGAAAATATAAAGAGCACTCTTTCTACTTTTGTGAAAAAGCAAATTTCACAATACGGAATGGTAACAGTTACTACACTGTGTATCATGGTCTGAAAAGAAAGACTAAAATGTTACTCAGAATACAAGTTACTTTAGACGCTACTTTCTGGAAAAACTCAATTCTTGAGTGCAATAAATTCAGCAGGAAAATAGTCAAGAGGTTATTTCTTTGTTTTGCTTCCAATGGCCATGTGAATGAATCTGAACTTACTTAGTAAACATCATGTCTCTAAAGTCTCACATTGCTTCATGGAAGCCAACCAAAGGAGATTCACCAACAGCAGGGTCTCTTTTTCCGTGACTTTATGTTTTTGTCGAGGACACCATAGAACGTGAGGGAAACAGTGACCAGAGAGTCACTGAGGCTGAGAACTTGGATTTACAACCCAGCTGTGCCATTCATATTTGGAGTGAACCAGAGCACCTGGCTGCTTCCTGCCCAAGCTCCGATAGCTACAAAGTGGTCACGATGCCTGCTCTAGAAAACCACAAGCTGACAGCGAGGCACACAGGAAACAGCAGGCATTACAGAGCTTCCAGGCTGTACAGTGCTGCATGTTATTCTGCATTATCACCAGCTGTGAAGGGCGTGTCATCCTTAGCCATTTTCTATTCAGACCAACAGTTCCTCAAGGAGAAAGGCCTTTCCCAGAGGCACAGGGCTCAGGTCCAAGCCATGGAAGTCAAGCTCCGAGTTTTTCCCACAAAAGCAGAGCAGACAACAGCCCCTAGAACCTCCTCCCCAACCACTGTGCACTGCTCTTAGACTCTCACGATTGCCAGCCTCTCCTCTCTGCTAGTCACTGGCTGCTTCTCTGGGCTTCTCAAATTATCGGTGAGGTGAGGTGAGGTGAGGTGAGGTGAGGTGAGGTGAGGTGGGGTGGGACGGGATGGGATGGAATGAATGTATGTGAATTAAACTTAACATGTACATAAAACCAAAACAATAGTACACATATGCATACTGAACACGCTGTCTATTTTTCTGTCATCGTGGTTGTACTTAGCAGGCTATGGTCAATGTGGAAAAAAAAAAAAACAAGCCATGCCTAGATAAATTAGAAAGCAGTGAAAGTTCACTTGGGGCTTGAACAGTTGACTCCACTTTCCACAGCAGCCATATTTAAGAGTTTCAAATACTACCTTTGATAAAGACATTAATCTTTTAAAATATCATCTTCCTTACTCCACATTTTCAACCAGATGAGATCTGTCCTTTTAAATGCTATAGAAAGCACCCTTAACTGGATATTCTGTCCTCCAAACTACTGCCTCTCATTAAGGACTATACAACTATCATACCAGCTGACAGATTTCTGCACATCAGTCCTGTATTTTTCCCAACTTTATATACACTGTGCCTTCTGGACACAATACCGCTCTGCTCCTTTTCTGAACCATCTCCTACACATTTCAAGGTTTAATTAGGCTCCACTTACCACCTCCTGCCCCACTGGATCATTCAGGCAACTACAATCCTTGTGTTCATGCTATTATGTGAATCATTTTAGTAATTTTGTTAATATGCCGCATTTTGCTCTTCAAAGATAATTTTTGATAGTTACATTGTTAGTTGCTGAGTTTTGCCAGAGCTCTTGCCTTTACACCCTAAGCCAAGTCTTTGAAGAGCAAAATTTAAATTTACTGCCTTCCAATGCACCTCAAATTTCCTGCCATATAATAGAAGTTCAATCAGTATTTATTTTTTCTGACAATTGCAAGGCATATGATGGAAAAAGTAAATGGTTAAATGAAATTATTCAATCAGGTGGAAAATCCATTAAGAGAAATGAATAGGTAGGAGAGGAACACAGGAGACTATTTCCTTGTAGAGAATTTAAGCACTATAACGTACGGTATCTTAGCAGAGAATTGGCTTGGCTCATTTTCTCTCCTCCCATTATTTGCATTTTCAAATTATAGATTTAAGTTAAATTCCAATGAGAAAAAAAAATCTCTCTCTTCCTCTGATACTTAAGCATCTCTCATTAATGCTGTGGGGAACACGCTCTTTAATTAAACAAGTTGAGATCAAAAGAAGTTACTGAACATCTCAGAGAGTCCCATAACAGCCTGAATTTTTCTCCTAGACTCTTTAATCTTTCTGTGTTTATTCCTAAGTGCACAGGAAGTAGATATGTTCAGAGCATTTTGTTTTTTCAATTAGAGTTTTGTATCTATCATCACTTCCCAAAAGAGGTGCTCACAGAGAGTCCAGCTTTCCCTAGTTACGCTTCTCCTTCTCGTGCCTCTCTCTCCATTTCCTCTCAGCTTGTCCTTTCTAATCCTTACTTCCCAGGTGTATTCTTCTACCTGAGTTCTGCTGTCAACCCCATTATCTATAACCTACTGTCTCGCCGCTTCCAGGCAGCGTTCCGGAACGTGATCTCTCCTCCCTGCAAACGCTGCCACTCCCAGGATCACCCACAAGGACCAGGAGCCCCACGGAACATCTTCCTCACAGACTGCCACCTCGTGGAGCTGACTGAAGACGCAGGTCCCCAGGTCCAGGGACAGCCATCCACCTGCAACTCTCCCCTGTCCACAGCCGTTTCCACAGGACAGGCGCCATGAAAGAGCTCATCCTCTTTGCAAGGACTAATTCCTAACTGCCTCCCAGCCACTCACTAGCTCAGGAGGACAACACGCCTGGCCAAGGCAGTGCCCATATGGTGAGCAGGTTCCACTCAAAGAAGATCTGACCTGAGTCATCTATCCTGAGTGGAGTTGTCATCTCTGACAACCAATGGCCACTGTGAGCCACAGCAGGGGCGCTGCTCTGCTCTTTATAATCTGAGAAGTCCATATCAGTGTCCCAGTGCAGCCATCCATCTAACCTGCTGTGCCCCACAGTATAACACGATTGCTGAGTGCATCCTTAAGCCTTTTACCCTACCTGCTCCCTTGATAGCCTGTGAATTATTACCACCACTCGAGTCCCCATTGTCATTAGCAGTCATTTCTCATCAGGAGCCAGATCAGATACAAATTCAGCCTAGAGTAGAACAGGAAGAAAAGAAGCTGAGATGGTGGGTGGAAAGAGATTCAAACTACACCAAACAAAACCCAGCCCTTCTCATGACGAGATCCTGATGTAGTTTCCAGCATCTTATTTCATATACAGACAGAAGCGTGGTCTATTATGTTGGAACAAAGACAAATGAACTGGCAACCACACATCTGAAACCACTGACTTCACCTGTTCGGTCATTCATCACCTGTGGAATGTTCCTCATGTATATAATCCGAGCAAAATCTACTTCTCAGAGTCAGCTGCCTTCACACCATCACAAGTAACTTACTTGCATTCCATTCAGCTAGGACTGGCTGCTCCTCTCTGAAAACACAGGCCCTGCTGTTCCCCACCTGTGTACCTCACACACAGAATGCTTTTGTTCACCCCTAGTCTCCATCTGTTTGTATCCAACCAATCTGCAGTGTCTCCGTACGGTAGGGTCATTCCTGATTTATTCCAAGAAATATCTCGAATTTTTCTTTTTCTCAAGCATTTCCTCCCCTCTGCTTTGTATTTTAGTGATTCATATGCTCGCTTTTCCAAACTGTAATTTTTTTTTTTTTGCAAAGGCAGGAAGGAGCTTGTGGTTTATTGATTTGTTTGTTTATTTGGTGGCACTATATCTGTCACAAAACTGAGCAGGCCTCACATTCCAATGTATTTTAACCGAACAACAGTTCTGAACAGAACCACGTTAAAAGTCAAAAGACTGGGTTGGGTATGGTGGCACATGCTTGTAATGTCAGCACTCAAGAGGCTGAGGCAGGAGGATCATTGCAAGTTCGAGACCAGCCTGGATTCAAAACGAACTCTAGTCCAGCCTGAATTGTATAACAAAACCCTGTCTCGAAAAGACAAAAAAAAGTCAAAAGACTAAGATTATGTCTCTGTTAGAGATGTATGACCAACAGTACGTCATTTAGTTGTGTGATTATAATTGCATGCCTACTCTTTCTGTGAAGCATGGAGCTACCTGACACTGAAACTTGCAAGTTCTAGCCTTTAATTTCTAAATTTCTAAATTTTCCATGAGTTGAATGAATGAAACATTGATAAATAATGTTATTGGTATCTTCCATCCTCATTTACTAACATATTAATCATAATCAAAGTACATCAACGTTAAAAACAAAACCTCTTTGTTGATTACAAGCCAACTGGAACAAAACAGCATTCTCCAGTGATGCGTTGCATCAGGGAACATAATTCTCTAGTCATTTCAAAATTAAGTTGAAAAGCTCTCAGTTTTCCATATTTGCTATGATGGTGGCAATAGGTTCATCATAAAAGGCTTCCGTGAGACTGAGATAAGGTCTTGCCATGCCTATTCTCTGCAGCACTTTTATTTGGAAAGGAAGCTGGGGCTTTCAAAGGCTTTACTGTACCTCCTGAGATGGCGATGTGATTTCTCTTTTGGCCTCTCTTTATATGATACATCATATTTATTGACTGGAACCATTCTTGTAATTTCTGAGATGAGGCATACTTAGTTATGATGTACGATCTTTTTTTGGTGTTTGCCAGGGTCCTGTTGAGGGGAATGATAGCTTCCAGCAATGACTTTGGGAGTTCTCTGTACTTTCCAACTTCATTAAAAAGCTTAGAAGTACTGACGTTAGAAAGTCCCTGAAGTTATGGTAAAATTCATCAATGACCCCATTTGGATCTGAGTTTTCTTAGTTGGTAGTTTTTTTAAAAAAATTATTGCTTTAATTTCATTGCCTGTTATTGGATTATTTGGGTTTTTTAAAATTGTGTTTGTTCGGTTTTGGTAATTCATATACATCTAGTAATCTATCCATTCTGTATTATCTAAAATATTGGCATAGAAGTCTGCAAAGTTATTAATAAGCATTGTTACTTCAGGAATGTTCATTATGATTTCAATTTTGTAATTCTAACTTTTTTATTTCTCAATCTTTTTACTTCTAAATTTCAATACTTTCTCTCCTTCCTTATTTAACTTGGCTAAGGATTTGTTTATTTTGTGTTCTTCCAAAGAGTAAATTCTTCAACTCATCAATTCTTTGTCATTTTTTGCCTCAATTTCACATATTTCTCCCCTGATCTTCATAATTTCATTCTTTGTCCTCGCTTGAAGTTTGGATCATTTTTGTTCTTCTGTGACGCTGAGGTTCATGGCTGAGTTATTGGCCTCCCTCTGCTTTGTGATGTGTGACCCTCACAGCTACAAACCTCCCCCTCAGGACTGCTGTCATTGCATCCCATCAGTTGTGGTGTGTTACACTAGTATTGCTGTTCAGTTGCAAAAACTGCCTTATTTCTTCCATGACTTCCATAAGCCACTGTGTATTTAATAGGATACTGTCTAATTTCCATATATTTACATAATTGCTGTAAGCATACTTTATTGGCTAGTGTGTATCTCCTTCTGCTCATCCTTTATTTTGTCACTTTTCTGTACATCACCTTTCTCACTGGATGGGTATCACAGGGTATTTAAGATTGTTTTTCTGGCTTATTTTACCCAACATTATACATTTTAGTGCACTCATTTCCCTACAAATATCTAGAATCTATCCTCCTTTATAGCCAGCAGTATCCCATTAGGTGTGTATACCATATTCTCTTAATCTGCTAGTCTGTTTATGGCCATACAGGCTGCTTTGAGGATCTAGCTATTATCAATTGTGTTGCTATGTAAACAGTGGTGTGCATCTTTCACGGGAGTAGGATGCATTTAGCTCTATTAGGAAACTACTTAAAAGGGCAATCACTGTGTCAAGTAGGATTTCCGATTTTAGTTCTCTGAGAAGTCCCCACATGGATTTTCACCATGTTCACACTGGTTTCCATCTCCACCAACAGCACAGCGAGTTTCCTCCATCCCTGCAGCCCCACCTGCATTTGTCATTTGCCATCTTGATGATGACCAAAGTGTGAAACGAAATCTTGGGGTTTTTTGTGGCAAATCTTGGGCCACAAAAATTCGTCATTCATGTATTGAATATTTTAGCTTCCTCTTCCAATTTTTTGTTTGTTTTTCCCCCAAATATGTCTGGGGCTTTTGGAATATAATTCCATAAACTTTTGGGTTATGTCCTCTTTGAATTCATCAAGCTTCTTCATCTCTTCTTAAAACAATTCCTAGAGCTCTGTTACCTAGCATTTGCTTTCCTTTTACCGTGTACCTCCACGATCTCCCTCAGCAGAGCCGAGAGGCCTTTGGGGTCTTTTCTTGCCTTGTTTCCCATGACCCTGTGTGTGTATACATTTGCTTATTTCATTTTTTCCCTTCATTGATACTGACAGTTGAAGTTTAGTAGGATGGGGAATTAATATGAAGGCTTTTAATTAATATGAAGGTTTTATTAGTATACTGATTCCCAATGATGTGTCTTCAGCTTGATATGTCCAGAGATATTGTTTACCTCTTCAGTTATATCATCTGAGTGGTTTGGACTCTGTCGCTGTGTCCCGGTATTGTGAGGAGAGAATTCCCTGTAGTTATAAGAGCATCAACAGGTCTGATGATAAGTCATTTGCATAGGATAGACCAGTGGCGTCAAGTCTGTGGCACCTGTGCCTCACTGGGCTGTTTGCATCATTAAATGGTCTAAAACGCTCACCATCAGCGATGGACTTTACACTGACATTTTCAGGCTTTATCAGCACTCCACACAGCGTATCTCCCATTACTTCTAGCATTTGTTGTACAAATTGGTAGAAGTGGAGGGGGGAGAATGAGGGATGTGTGAAAGAGGAGTCCAGAAGCAAGGAGACTGCAGGGGTAATTTTGAGAGTAAAATAAAGGCCAGTCTGACATGGGGTCGGATTCTGTGGCGGCACTTGTAGTTGGGACTGGAGGTTTAGTGCTGAGGGTTTTAAGGAGGTATCTGTGGGGGCAAGGCTAAGATAGAAGAGGAAGGAGGTGTGCTCGGGATTGAGGAGTGCGTGGCTGCTGTCAGGACCTGTTGATCAGTCTGTGCACCTGTAGTGTGTAAATGAGGCAAGAGAAGACACTGTTAGGGAAGATACAAAGCGAAGAGGAAGTACAGAAGCACAGAGGGTTAATTTACAGGAAGACAGGAGTAACAGAGAGCAAGCAGAATACAGCAAGCCAAATGTGTGAGAGGAAGAACTTAAAAAGTTGGGGAAAAAACAGATAAGTAAAATACAACTATGAGAGCTTGAAATTAAGAAACTAGACAAGGAGATGAGAAGAAGGAGAAAACATAGACACCAACTCATTGAAGTAAACTGAAAATATAACCCAACAATAAACAAAAACAAAACAAGCACAAACAGAAAATGTCTGCCAGGGCTCACTTCAAAAACCCAGACAGGAGAATGCGCATGGGAGTCACATGGGACCGGTTTGCAAGACACCCTGGGTGTTCACGCCATTCCCCTCCTGCACTGATTGAGCTGCAATTATACACAGCCACAGAAACATCCTCTCTGCCATTTCTTCTACAAAGCTGAAGCTATCCCATCACAGGATGTCATTCTGCTGGCTTGTAGGCAAAGTCTGATGCTATTTCCGTGCTTGTGTTAGGGACTCTCACCCTCACCCAAGCATGGTGGCAGAACCTGCAGAGGTATTCATGAGCCAGTGAGGGGCCATGGAGTCATGGAGGGGCCAGTGCTTAAGCAGGGGCCTCAGGGATCTGGGATTACACATATGTACTGACCAATGAGTCTACAGGAGACAGGAGCAGCTGCCAGGGGACCGCTCAGCAGTTCTCTTTCAGATAAAAATCTGGACATTGCTTGGGGGGTGAGTGTGCCTACCTGCTAGAATGTGCGTCCCTGCCACTCTGCGAGGGTGTGCTGGGAGTTCCCTCACCCTCGGTGAGCGCTGGTCTGGAGTAAGATTGCAGTAGCTGACACAAAGCCAGGAGAACCAACTCTTCACTGTCCAGGGGGAGTCTGCAAACTGCTCAGGACATGAGTGAGTGTGTGCCTGTAATAATCCACCGTCCCCGCCACCCTGCCCAAGGTGTGTGGGCAAGTTCTCTTGCCCTCAGGAAGCAATGGGGAAAGTGTGCAGGAGAAGGCGGCAGTGGACAAGACAGACCATGAGAACTGGTGGTGTTTCGCTTTCAAGCAGAAGTGCGCACTGGTGGAAACATACGGTCCCTGTTTGCTATTTGTCCTCTCTCTGCTCAGTGTGGAGGTGTGGGGTTCACTGGTCCTTGGGGAGTACAGGGGAAGTGGCCACCAAGCTGCAGCAGGCCCCAGAGTCTGTAAGAGGGCTGCTGTGGTGAAGGGGCTGGCATACGCAGATTCAGACCAGGGGTTCACTCTGGCAGCACTGCGACCTGCTTTCTCTCCCTCAGGAGTGGGAGGAGCTGACAAGGTGTGGACCAGTCTTACCCCACCTCACTCCATGATCCAGTTCTTAGATTTGTTCTACATGAATTCTTTCCATTGGCATTCTAATTCTGTCCCTCAGCATTTTATTCAGATTATAAGAACCTCTAATACCACAGGTGCTATGGCTTCAGTGGGTTTAGTCTGAGCACTTCTAATGTGACAGCTCTTCTAGCCAGACAAGTTTCTTGGTTTTGACAAATATACCACAATAAAAAAGTAATTAACACTAGGAAAAACAAACTTAGCTAAGGGGGGCTAAGCACTCTGCACACTATCACTATAACTTTCTAATAAATCTAAAACCATGTTTAGATAATTTTGTGTATTGGTTAAAACACACTTTTATGCTTTGACTTCACACTTTTTCTCCAGTTTTTCACTATTACCCAAGCTGGCCTGAAACTCCTGGGTACACTTAGCCTCACACTCTGCCTCCTGAGTATCTGGGGCTACTGGCAGTCACCGCCACACATAGCAAATTTTTTAAACGTCGTAGTCTGAATCTCCACACTCACATGAATTATTAAATACTCACATGAATTATTAAATTTTAGCACAGGTTTATAATTTAATTTCAGATCTTCAAATACCAACATAGCAAAAACTATTAAAAAACATCATATTTTAGGAGCACATACATGGTAATATACATTTACTGACATGCAGGTAGCGGGTCAGGAGGACTTACGTGCCACCAGCAAAACAGGGGCGGGAACTCATATCCTCAGCCCCCTTTGGCTGCCATGCCGTCACTCATGTCCCTCTCACCCGCCTGAAGGTGTAACCAGACACCCTCACCTTTGGCCGACCGTCCCCTCAGGGGAGATGCTGTCACCTCGCTGGATGCTGAGGGATAAGACACAGGGCCCACTCCAGATGACTATGCTTCACTGCTCACCTTCTCACACTTGGGGAAGCTAAGTTCCCCTACTTTGGCACAGCTCACCTCCACTTTTCAAATGACAACTTTAATGTACGGTGCTGTTACAGTTTTTACCAAATCTCTGATAACAGGAGGAGTCCAAGTCTAG